GTACTCACAAAACTATAAAATACTCAGGAAAGAAATTGAAGAAGACACAAAGAAATGGAAAAACGTTCCATGCTCATGGATTGGGAGAACCAACATTGTGAAGATGTCAATGCTACCTAGAGCAATCTACACATTCAATGCAATCCCCATCAAAATACCATCCACTTTTTTCAAAGAAATGGAACAAAGAATCCTAAAATTTGTATGGCACCAGAAGAGACCCCGAATAGCCAGAGGAATATTGAAAAAGAAAAGCAAACCTGGCGGCATCACAATTCCGGACTTCCAGCTCTATTACAAAGCTGTCATCATCAAGACAGCATGGTACTGGCACAAAAACAGACACATAGATCAATGGAACAGAATCGAGAGCCCAGAAATGGACCCTCAACTCGATGGTCAACTTATCTTTGATAAAGCAGGAAAGAATGTCCAATGGCAAAAAGACAGTCTCTTCAACCAATGGTGTTGGGAAAATTGGACAGCCACATGCAGAAGAATGAAACTGGACCATTTCCTTACACCACACACAAAAATAGACTCCAAATGGTTGAAAGACCTAAACGTGAGACAGGAGTCCATCCAAATCCTAAAGGAGAACACAGGTAGCAACCTCTTCGACCTCAGCCGCAGCAACTTCTTCCTAGAGACATCGCCAAAGGCACGGGAAGCCAGGGCAAAAATGAACTATTGGGATTTCATCAAGATAAAAAGCTTTTGCACAGCAAAAGCAACAGTCCACAAAACCAAAAGACAACCGACAGAATGGGAGAAAATATTTGCAAATGACATATCAGATAAAGGGCTAGTATCCAAAATCTATAAAGAACTTATCAAACTCAACACCCAAAGAACAAATAATCCAATCAAGAAATGGGCAGAAGACATGAACAGACATTTTTCCAAAGAAGACATCCAAATGGCCAAGAGGCACATGAAAAAGTGCTCAACATCGCTCGGCATCAGGGAAATCCAAATCAAAACCTCCATGAGATACCACCTCACACCCGTCAGAATGGCTAAAATTAACAAGTCAGGGAACGACAGATGTTGGCGGGGATGTGGAGAAAGGGGAACCCTCCTACACTGTTGGTGGGAATGCAAGCTGGTGCAACCCCTCTGGAAAACAGTATGGAGGTTCCTCAAACAGTTGAAAATAGAGCTACCATACGATCCAGCAATTGCACTACTGGGTATTTACCCCAAAGATACAAATGTAGGGATCCGAAGGGGTACGTGCACCCCAATGTTTATAGCAGCAATGTCCACAATAGCCAAACTGTGGAAAGAGCCAAGATGCCCATCGACAGATGAATGGATAAAGAAGAGGTGGTATATATACACAATGGAATATTATGCAGCCATCAAAAGGAATGAGATCTTGCCATTTGCAACGACGTGGATGGAACTGGAGGGTGTTATGCTGAGTGAAATAAGTCAATCAGAGAAAGACATGTATCACATGACCTCACTGATATGAGGAATTCTTAATCTCAGGAAACAAACTGAGGGTTGCTGGAGTGGTGGGGGGGTGGGAGGGATGGGGTGGCTGGGTGATAGACATTGGGGAGGGTATGTGCTATGGTGAGCGCTGTGAATTGTGCAAGACTGTTGAATCACAGATCTGTACTTCTGAAACAAATAACGCAACATATTTTAAGAAAAAAGAAAAAGAAGAAGATAGCAGGAGAGGAAGAATGAAGGGGAATAAGTCAGAGGGGGAGACGAACCATGAGAGATGATGGACTCTGAAAACAAACTGAGGGTTCTAGAGGGTAGGAGGGTAGGGGGATGGGTTAGCCTGGTGATGGGTATTAAAGAGGGCACATTCTGCATGGAGCACTGGGTGTTATGAACAAATAATGAATCATGGAACACTACATTGAAAACAAATGATGTAATATATGGTGATTAACATAACAATAAAAAATTAAAAAAAAAAAAGAAACCTCACAAGGGGGGGCATCTGACTCTTGGTTTCAGCTCAGGTCATGGTCTCATGATCTTGAGATCAAGCCCCACATCCAGCTGTGCACTCAGCATGGAGTCTGCTTCAGATTCTCTCTCCCTCCCACTCACCCTCTCTTTCTCTTTTCCTCTCTCTCTCAAATAAATAAATAAAATCTTTAAAAAAGAAAAGAAACCTCAGCTCCTTGTTTCTCCTTAATGCTGGAATGCCAAATGTACCTGTAGGTCCATCAACCAGAGCACAGTGAAACAAAGCAACTTGCTGTGTGACCTTTGAGAGTTCCTGTCCTCTCTGATTCATTTTCTAATGCTGTCAATGAGAGCCTCCCTAAGGTCCTAACAACTGTGGTGTGGTAGTTTGGGTTCCCTAAGGGAAAAACTCTGAGATCTGTTAGCCTGCCATCATCAGACAGATGAGTGAAACCATCCTGAATCATCCAGTCCAGCCAAGCCATTGGCTGACCCAAGAGGTTAGACACAGAAGCCTGGATTTAAGTAAGTGCTGGCCTGGCTTATGGAATGGTGAGAAGTAACAGCTGTTTGTTGTTTTAAGCCACTAAGCACTGGAGTGTTTGTTAACAGCAACAAATAGAGATAAGAGTTTAGTTTATTTACATGGGGGAGTTTTATCAGGGGTAACTTGGGATCAGCATCCATAAGGGAGGGAAGTGGGTCTGAGCAGAGGGGAAAATCACACTGCAGTGCATCTGCAACCAAAACCTTCCCTGATCTCACAGGGAGCACTCTAACTGTGGTGGTTCTTCAGAGTTGTCCCACATTGCAGTGGCTTAGTAGGGCTGCTGTACTGAAGGACCACGGACCGGGGGCCTTAAACAACAGAAATGTATTCTCCCACAGTTCTGGGGCTGGAAGTCCAAGATTAAGGTGTCAGCAGGGTTGGTTCCTTCTGAGGTTGTGAGGGAGAATCTGTCCCTTGCTTCTCTTCAAGGTCCTGGTGGTTCCCTGGAAATCTTCAGCTCCTTGTCCACACCTTAGCTTGTAGGTGTGTTGTCCCAGTTTCTGCCTTTGTCTTCACATGGCATTCTCCCTGTGTGCCTGTGTCCAACTTTCCCCTTTTATAAGGACACCGGTCATATCAGATCAGGGGCCCATCCTACTCCAGCATGACTTCACCCTAACTAATTCCATCTACAGTGACCTTATTTCCAAGGAAAGTCGCATTCTGAGATACTGGAGGTTAGGATTTGAACAGTATCTTTTTTTAGAGGGTTTGGGGGAGACACAAACCCTTAACAGGCACAGGGGCCAGAGCTTCGTACCCCACACAAACCAGTCATCAGATGTGGCTGCCCTAAGGAAGGGAGCATAACTGTGGACAAAGTAGCTCCCTTAAACCTAGGAGAGTGCTGGCAGAGGGACTCCACTGTGAGCCCCCAGCAGACAACAGCCCCTGACAGCTGGAAGAGTGAGCATCTGGGTTCTGAAGAGGTGTTCCAAATGGTGTACTACAGTGTCAACTACAGTGAATCCACCACAGCAACCACAGTGGTGTACTTGCCACAGCACCCACTACACCTACCACAGTGATAGATCTACCCACTAGATCTACCACAGCATCTACTGCAGTGGCAACCTGTGGTTCTGATTACAACAAGGGCTTCTAGAGGTGCTTGAGGTGTGAGACTCTGGGTGAGTCACCTTGAGGGCACAAACTCAGGCAGCACAGTCAGCCTTATGGGGTTGAAACCATGCCCCAAGAGGTGAGTCAGCAGCATCCAAGAAGGTTAGAGACCAAGAACTGGAAAACATGAACCTCATCACACATAGTCTAGACCACCCGCTAACCATGTCAGCCCTGTTAAGAGTATCACATCCCTCTTCTGTGGAGTACTTGGGAGATACCAAAGCTTTCATGTGCTTCCTCCCACTTGTGCACTGTGCTGGTGACAACTGTCTCATCTATGGTCATGCAGAGTCAGAGCCAGAGCTTGTACTTGTGGCTCCTAACCCTGAGCACTTCAACCACCCACATCCCCACTTCAACCCAGAGCCCAGCCAGAGCTCCTCCTCTGGTTGCAAAACTGTGGCCTATAAAGGCCAGCCAAAGACCATACTTCCTCAGCCTTCCCAGGTTCTCACCAAAGGCCAGGAGTCTTGGATGGATGGACAGATGGGTGAACAGACAGGTAAGTGGCTGAATGGATGAACAGGTGGGTGAATAAACGGATGGATAGGCAGATGGGTATACAAACAGATGGATGGTTGAATGGATGGATGGAAAGAGGGAAGGAAGAAAGAAGGAAGGAAGGAAGGAAGGAAGGGAGGGAGGGAGGGAGGGAGGAAGGAGGGA